ATATATATATATATATTATTTATCTTCACTAACAATTATTAGACAGAACAGGATATTTTAAACAAGCTTATTTATAATATAAAATACATAAATATTCATAAGCTAAAATAGTACCAATGAACTACACAACTAATACTGAAGCCAAAGCTTCCAATCACATAGTTTTATAAACGACGAAAATTATATCTTATCATTGAAATATGCTTAGATAATTTTTTCGCAAAAAAAGATATATCCTATAACTGTAATATAACTTACCAAGTGAAAAAACACCCAAGACAAAAATCTGCAGGATCAAACAGATGCCATTATTCCAGTGAGCAGCCATTAGAATGACGTCACTTCGTAGATCAAGAATTGTTAATACAACGTACAACCAAACACTATCGTAGATAGCAATGGATTTAAACTGTTTGGGGAAATTCTGTCATCTGCTTAAGACACAAACAACTATAAAGGTAATAAAACATCAAGGTTAAGAAACGGCGATATTATAACAACGAATGTATCCAACAAAAACACTAACACCTTATAAACAGGGTAATATCGAACAGCACCTGAAGCGACACATAGCGGAAGAACAAATATTAAGTAACTCGTAGGATTTTTATTAAATTACTTTCCGTTAAAGGTAATAAAAATTTTGAAAGTTTCCAACTTTAAACGCATGTTCCAGAACGAAGGAAAAAATAAAGAGCCCTAGAGGAATAAAAAATAACTCAAACAATCCTTCACTGATAAAATACGAACAGTAATAAATTAAAACGTTAAAAAATGTAGGATTTCCAAAGCAGAATTACAGCAATCATGTAAAGCTTTCTTTGGTGCAAGTTTTAAATTCATATCTCTTTTATACCTCCTGAATTTTCCTTTTTGATAAAAGAAAAACGAATCTGTTCTAATCGTTGAATAACGATATATTTCTAAATACTATCACATACAATAATTTGGTGCAACCAAGATATGCATCGTGTTTAACCTAATCTTTTATGTTGAATACAAAGAAGTCTTGTTCTTGCCGACTAAGGAACACGTGTCAACAATATTTTAATTACACATATATAGAATAAAATACAAATAGTGGGCGAAGAACACGTATAAACTTCTCTGGACACGCACTTCCTACCTTTGACCAGTAATTCAGCAGAGTAGCTCGAGATCCCAGCGTTGTTCCTGGCAACACAAGTGTAGTTTCCAATATCACTTCCCTCTAAAGTTTTTATTTTAATTGAGAAAAATCATCTTGAGTTAAAAATTCTAATTTTCCATCTTCCGAAGAAAGATCTATTCCATTCCTCAGCCAAGAGAACACAACAGGCGCTGTTCCTTTCAACAGACCACAATAAACACCAATCTGGTTACCTATTTCAGTTTTCTCCGGAAAGATGAAAGGTTGAATTTCTGGAGGTTCTGTGATAATGTAAAATTAACATATTATATTTAAGAAAGTAGCTCGTTAAGCCTTTAAAGAAACACATACAAACCTAAGCATACCATTAAAAGTTTAAACAACTGTGTCAAAATAAAACTGCAATAGTAAGGTTCATTAAAAATCGTTAATTAATAAGGAAAAGTCAAATATCCTTAGAGAAACCTCTAAACTTGGATAGTAAATTTTACGACCTGCCGAACTTTTAGGGAATACTCTGAATTATTTTAATAAAGAAGATTTTACTTACCTAAAGATATAACTTTCCCAAGCAAGCCCACAAACACTGTACAAATTGGAAGCATCTTTTCGATCGCCATTACAAGTTTCTATGACGTCACGCTGGATTACCTTTCTTTGTTAGAGCCTGTACTGTAAAGTCACGACGTAAAAAACTCTCGAGTAAACAATTATTCAGATTCACCGACATACATTTTAAGTTCGATATTTTCAGCCTTTGACAATTCTGCGAGAAGATTACAAAGAATTTTGATACTTAACTCTAAACAAACCTTTCTTTGGAATACAATACGAACGTTTACAAAATCGGGTCTCAGGCTTTTCCTGACTAACTCTCGAAGCGCCACATAGTGGCAAATACAGTCACGGGTGTTTAACGACATCTCAAAAATACAAATATGATACGGAATGAAAATAAGAAAACAAATTATTATAGAAACCCTGAAATACATGAGCAAGCCACAGCCTTTATGTTTATGAATTAAACAAAACACTGAAAAGTCGAACACAAGTGGCAAAGAAGTGTGTTTGAATTTTTTTTTTATCATCAATAAAACATTTTCCGGCAAACACTAATTAGTTCATTTGTTTAAAACTCAGATACAATGTATCGTACTTTTCAATGAGAAGAGTCCTTTTTAAACACCAAAGATTCATCATAATAGGTGACACAAACTAAAATCGCTAATGATTAAAGTGACCCGAAAAATACCTAGTACAAAAAGTGTAAAATCATATTTGTGCGTGGTGTAATCCGATACTATGATCACTTCATATTTCGCAAGTACAATTTATTATAAGTTTAGCACCCACATTCCTATATACAGTTAAAATATTTCCATGTTAAAAAACCGTATCTTAAAACATTTTAAGAATTTTGACAATGAAAACATGCCAGTCTTTACGACTTGTGGGAAAATTTCGATTTTTTTACGTAAGATTCGCCTCTAGCATATTTAAGATGTCTCACCATTTACCACTAACTGAGACGTGTGACTGTCCGAGCCGACAGCATTACTAATGACACAAGTGTAGTTCCCTACGTCAACAGCATCCAAGTTCCTTAGCTTCAACTGAGAGTTATCCTTCTGAGTTAGAACGTGTACATTACTTTCCAATTCATTAATGGGTTGTCCGTTCTTCTTCCACGAAAACTTAACAGGTAATGTGCCTTCAGAAAGACCACAAAATGCAGTGACCTGAGTCCCAAGCTTGGGTCGAGCAGGAAAATAAAATGGCTGAATGATAGGTAATTCTGTTGAAATTAAGAAACAAAATGGTGTTTAATTGGACATTGTCAGATATCTCACAACAGTAAAAGCTAACTACACAAGGTTCATCAGTAATGGTTTGTGATTCGTGAAATTTAAATACTAATAATTTTCTGAATGGAAGTGAAAAAGGAAAAATACCTAACAATTTCCAGCAATAATTAACTTCGAAAACAAACCTTAAATACGTAAGTTATGTTTAAAAACAATGATCAGGTGATTACTGACAAATCTTAAAATGTCAGACAAGAACTAGGAACTTATCCAAACATCACGAGTTTACTGTTGATAGTTTACTGTAGTGTGCCAAGAAAAAAAGTGTAAATATTTCAATGATAATAATTATTCTTTTAGAGCATAAACTCAAGACGATACTTACCCGAAGATAGTACGTTTATTATTGTTCCGTGCATCACAACAGCAATGAAATATGTCAGTATGGCGGCCATATTCCCATGCAGCGTTGACGTCACATAAGATAGGTGTGACTGAAGAATCAACGAACGTGTACTCGAGTGTTTATGATATTCTGAAAACTTTCTCTACCTGGCAGAATTTGAGGTGTTTTCAGTTAAACCTTGATTCAAAATAAAGATTATTAGTAGTTCTTTAAGTTGTAGCACAGCGCCAGGTGCCTTGTAACCATCAATGTTTCTTCCAACAAGCTCCAGTCTCAATGGCACATGAAGCGCCACAGTGCGGAAGTTCAAGTATCAACAAATGAAGAAATGCAAGTATGAATAACAAAAAAAAACATAGTAAATAACTTCCCCACACAACTATTCGAGGTTACCTGTAAGTGTAACTTTAACATTGTGTTAGATATGTCTGTAATAAATAAAGTACATCATTCATAGCATGCATTTTGTTCTGTTTTAAACACGCTCGAAAACAGTTGTGTAAACACACACAACTAACATTCAAACACCACAAAACGCTTGTTAACACATATAACAAAGAATTAATGACAACGTTAAAAATAACTGGAAATTAAAGTGTCATGATATCTACATATTAACACACAAAGGAACTGAAGTGTGATTTAATTTGAGGGCTTTCTGCATTTTTATCGATAATCAAATAAGTAAACTATTACAAAATGAAAGTTCAATACAGCATATGAAAACTAAAATTTAATTCACCACAACCGTTTCCATTAGTAATAGAACTCTGGAATTGGTGGTATGACATTGTATCACTAGAACTAACATGAATTACTATTTGCTTAATTACCAAAATATTAATAACTGTTTGTTTGTTTTGAATTTCGCGCAAAGCTGCACGAGGGCTATCTGCGCTAGCCGTCCCTAATTTAGCAGTTTAAGACTAGACGGAAGGCAACTAGTCATCACCAACCACCTCCAACTCTTGGGCTACTCTTTTACCAACGAATAGTGGGATTAACCGTCACATTATAATGCCCCCATGGCAGAAAGGGCAAGCATGTTTGGTGTACAGGGATTCGAGCCTGCGACCCTCAGATTGCGAGTCGAGCGCCCTAACCACCTGGCCATGCTGGGCCTATTAATTACTGATCCTCAATCTGAGAGTAAGACATGATATATATACAAAACACATAATACTGACCAGTTAAATTTAAAACAAAATACAAAATAACATGTGCCAAATCATAAACTCTGAAACCAAGAATAATGTTAATTGAAATAAACACACACGATACAACAACTTAAAAAAGACAAAAATATTCATCTTGCAAACTTTTATTGCTTAAAACGTTCAACATGTACCACCGTTAACTAATAACATATATATTACCGTTTACTAACAACCTGGCTGTACGGCTGTCTTCACCAACGGTGTTTCTAGCAGTACAGGTGTAGTTTCCAATGTTTCCACCGTCAAGATGCTTTAACTTTAATTTGGACGAGTCACTCAAAATCAAAATTTCTATCTTATCACCAACTGTTGTGAGAGTTTTTCCGTTTTTCTTCCAGGTGAAACTTACAGGTAAAGTTCCTTTCAACAAGCTACATAAAACATTAACCTGAGTACCAATTTCGGCTTTATCTGGGAAGATAAAAGGCTGAATTCTGGGGGCATCTGTGAAAAAAATATTGTAACTGAAATCCTTATAACGTAAATATTAAGTTTTTTTCTAGAGTCTAAAACCAATGTAACACAGAAATGCTTTTTTTAGAGAACCTACATTTGCTAATAAGATTATTATTAGACATTTAAATATATATACAGAATTTTTGCAAACCTGTTGCATAAAATAAATTTAATTTAGTTAAATTTAGTATACGTATATTTCTAAAATCACACTTACCGAAACTAGCAATGCTGCCCATAAGATTGAGAAGCACCACAACAACAACGGATAGATTTTCCGCCATTCCTGGTGACGCAGCTGTGACGTCAAAAAGCACACACATCCAAACTACTATTCAATGATCAGTAAGGGCAAGGGTAAGATAGTCTTGTATTTGTAATGTTCTGAGCAATATTACTAACCTTTCTCGGTTTCCACTCTAAAAACTCTTAGAAAGGTTGAAATTTAATAAAAATATCCAATAATACAATAACCCCTCAAACAATTTTAACTACAAATGATAATTTAATCACACGGAAGGTGCTGGATGCTGGGTATCTATGCAAAACCAAAGGCTCTTAAAGAACTGCAGCGCCACATAGCGGAAGAAACAAATTTACAATATCAAAATACAATTGCAACGGCACTTCCCTTAATTTACCACAAAACACTAATATTTTATCAAATGTTCACATGTTCAGTTTATACTACACACACACACAAATAACGTTCCAATATAACTGTTACAATAACAGATGTCTAGATTTGTAAAAAAAAACGCATTAGTAAAAGAAAAAAGCAATTATACAAACAAAATGCCCTTTAATTAAATACAAAATGGAATAAGGTACGACCACAGTCATAAGTTAAAGTTTTAAGCTTCACCTTCAACTGGCTAATCTAATATCGGTTTTCGACACACACATTCGAGTATATTTCATATTTCACAAAATATCTGATTTTACAACAACAAATTTTCAGCATTTCTAAATTGTGTAACAATCATTCATAGTTTGACGACAAGTAGAACGTTTCATTTGAGGGGTAAGTAAAATAAGGCTGTGTAAGAGGTGATTATCACCCTTTGATCGCAATGTTTCATTTCATATCTAAGATAAGTATTAATCATTACATGTTAAATTAGATGTTTGGACCTCGGCAACATACAACAATTTTCATAAGTCATTAATTTATCAGTCATCAAATTATATAACACAACTATTTGTAAATAATAAGTAACTGTATGAAGCTAATAAACACGTTTACATCTTGTGTAAAAAATATTTCGCAAATACACGTCGCATGTGTAACGTACACAACATCGTTCTCAAGTCCTTAATTCACATCATAGGTTAGGTAGAAGACTGCTGTGTTGATATTTTTCACCAATTTTAAAATATTTTAAACAAATAGTTTGTCTATCAAAAGAAATATCACACGAAATATGTGTTCTGTAATATGACTTTATCCAATACATAACCAGAAATAAAAAAACATTTTGCTTCGATATTTTGTTAAACGTATACAATTTTCAAGTTTGCTGTGTAATAATATATTCTCTGGATTAAACACTCCATGGCAGTAGACAGACAATCAAGTGAGCTCTTAATACATGTCAGTTTAGTTTTACATCCTTGTTTCTTAAATATGTACGCTAGGAGGCGATACCAGATTCACTGGATAATTAATATTCGACACTGGAAAAAGACTAGAAGAAATTCACGAAAGAATATATTCGAGATGAAAGACAATATTTATTCTTAAAAGAATATATATATACAATTTAAACAAACCTTCTATTACCATCTGCGCTGTTGTGTTATCTGTAGCAACAGCATTTGATACTCTACAAGTGTAATATCCACTGTCATAAGTTGACACACCAACAATAACTAGTCTGCTTGTGTATTCGTCGATTTTCTCAATGTCAAAATGTGGTCCAACATACAATCTCTCCCCATCTTTCCACCATGAGAAAGAAAATGGAGGATCTCCACGGCGAACAGTGCAGAAGACGCGAACTTGTTCTCCAAGTTTTATATTTTTCAAAAAGGAAAATGGCGCAACAACAGGTGGATCTAAAAAATAAGTAATTTTAAAATCAACAATAAAATAAGTTTGTTTTTTTACAAAGGAAAATTTGCAGGGTTTAATAAATTCTCTTATCTTCGAAAGATAAAACTAAGATATTCATTAATAATTGACTTGAGTTGAAAAAGCAGTCACATGTTATATAGCTAGTGTTATATTACAAACTTATACTGGATATCCTTAAATGATGTGTATTGCCATTCAAGCAAAAAAACAATTTATAACAAAATAAATTTATGTACTGGATTAAACTTCATTTCTCTTAATACTATACTAAATTAAAGTTTAATTATAATTACATTTACTTACCTGCACATTCAACACTGATGAGAAATGTAAGAAATGTGGGTAACATTCCAATTTTCATTTTCCTTATTTAATAATCAGCCACTATAACAAATGACGATGAAGAAGGCAACAAAATGGCTACTTATTTCACCCAACAACAGTGACGTCACAACAGATTTAGGGCGATTCTCAACCTCTTCGTCAAATTAAACAAAGAATCACAACTATTAAAAATACAAAAACAAATCTATACACTTATGTACCGAATAATAAGTTGTTTTGAAGTTCGTATGGCACAAAAATAACAGGATTTTTACATAACTTCTTCTCAACCTATCTACAGTAAGCTCAGAATAAAGCATTTGTAGCAAGCGTTCTTCTGTTGGTTCTGGATTAAAGCGACATCTGGCAGATAATTTTGACAAACATTAAGCATTTTTAGTAGAAATTGAAGATATTCGTTGTCAACCGGTATTTTAAAAGTAGTACCACCCAATCACTATCAACCCCTCAACCATGCAGCACGCATTTCATTTGTATCATACGATGTCTACTTTTGACAATTATGATAACTGGCTTCAAGATTTCTAAAGAGCAGACTGATCCAGAAAAAAAATATATACTTCAAGAGAAGCTAAAGTACAAAACTGATAAACTATTTATATATATATACCGTTCTTACTCTTAGGATTTTACATATTATTAATATCATCATTTCTACAGTTTTGTAAAATAAAAAAATTCAAAAAATAATGCAATCGGGAAATTTACAAAACTACGGGAGTGCCATAATATACAATGAAGATATTTACCTTGGACAAGAAGCTCAGAAGTATACCTATCATACCCAGCATTATTTCTCGCAATACAACTGTAGTTTCCAATATCGTTTCCATTTATATTTTTAACCACCAGAAGAGAAAATTCTCCATGAGTTACAATTTCTAGTTTTTCTTCTGTAGTAAATAATTCTTTATTATCTTTCTTCCAGTGAAACATTATAGGTGGCGTTCCTTTCGAAAGAACACATGTCACGGGTACCTTGGCACCATGCTCAATACTGGTTGGAAAATGAAAAGGCAGAATTTTCGGTGAATCTGGAAAATATGTTCACCATTTAAAATACGTAAAATCGGCAGTGAACGTAAAATAGAGTTTAAGCTAGAGATTGACAGACTTGAGATTCTATTTATCAATCACGTTTAGGCCAAAATTACTTGTTTTAAAAATATACAAGTTACTTTTTTAACGAAAACCTTCCTTTATGTATAAACTACAAAAATAATATGTAAATAATGCATGTTACAGCAAAATAAAGATAACTATTTCTTGATTTATTCTTTTCGCATGGTTTAACTATTCAATAATCTATTTTCCCTATCTCTGAATGCAATAAATGTTGTGAATACATATTTTATAAATAAAACAACGAACTTACCCATAGAATTTCCCCAAACTGGTAAGCCTATTAGTATTACAATTAGGCTTACAGCCAAGCTGAACATCACAGCCATTGGATGACGTCACAAGGTGTAGAAACCGCTACTTGATATAATGGTGTCTGTTCTGTAGGTAACTTAGCATACAACAGAGAACTGAGAAGTGGTAATGTATGCAAAACCTGTGTAAGTTATAATAATAGAAGAAAAGCGTAAACACGGTTGAATACAGTGGTCAATCAAACGCGTTCTGTTGTACAGCTCTCATGTATTTACCCCAATTATGAAAGTCGTTGTTAGAGCATCCTAACCTCAAGCTGAAGCGCCACATAACGGCAAAATTTTCATGAAAATTCTCAATTTTTTCTTTGCGAAATATTTCAGTAGTACAGTTATTACAGAAATAATAAACATAAAAATACCTTAGGAACCAAATACACTAACATACAGTATTACGAACGTTTCTATTTCCAGTAAATGAAAAAACGGAATCTACTACACAGTAACTAAAACAACGGAAAACAATAAATATATTGAAGACAAGTATAAAAATCGAATTCACTTCCTATACGCAATAAATCGCAAAATAACTTTGTCCATTGCTATTACCTGTATAGACAGAATTTGCTTTTCATTTATGCAGTTAATTCTTTAATTTTTAAATTAAATACTTTTTGTACATTTCTGTAGGTGGCCAACTATCAGAAAAGTTTTTTTTAACGAGTTACTTGACATGAAAAAGTAATAAATAAACCTGCATAATGAAACACCGATTAGGCCTAACTAATCACATTGGGCCAGCCTAAGTATATTAGTAACGTTGACAGAACTTGGACTCCATTAAAAAACAAAAAAAAACAATGACTACAGTCGGACAGCAGTCTAATAACCGAACACGTTCAGGTATGAAACTAGAATAGCTGCATGTGTTGGAAACAGTAGAATAATGCGTTTCTAATTGCAACATTCAATAGTTGTTGGGTAAGCCTAATAGTATTCATGTTTAGGTCAGTCTGAGTGACTTTAGTTATTAAATTTTTAGGTTTGACCGTCCATCTATAATTTCGATCTGCAGACCAATCAACAGCACTTACTCCCTGAATCAGTTACTCTTAACTGAACAGCATAATCAACTGTCACACTTATAATGCACTCACAGCTGAAAATGGGAACCACTAGGCCATGCTGGGACAGCACGTATGTACTTAATATTGGCAGAACGAGACCTCTAGTATCAGCAATTAGTAACAGAGCCTAGCAGTAAATGTTATATATGACAAAGACCAAACATAAAAAAAAACATTTTAATATCCGAAATATATTACAATTATTGGTATGACAACACATTACACAGTTCAACAAGTTGGAATGATTAATATTCATGAATGAAACTGGACACTATAAAACGGGCAAACCCATTTAAAAATATTTCAACTTACATTATTCTGACTAAAAAATAAAAAATGGGGAGGAGGGCATTTCATGATTTTAATGTATCATCATTGATGACCAAAATCCTGCACTTGACATAGCGTTTAGTATAACACATATTCATTTCTTTAGTACACAAACATAAATTGGTAATTAATAATTTTCCTAATCTATTATGACAATAATATTAGAATGGTGAATTGTAGTAAAAACATAAAACACGTTTTACTTAATAATTCTAGAAAATTAAGAGAAAGAAACTTTCTGAACTTGATATTGAGTATTTCGTGTTTAAAAATGTACTTCCAAACTACCGATAACGTCTTATAATAATCAGTTCAATAATGTTAACTTGATTCTGTTGTGATCTGACCCAACATTGTTTAGTAAAACGATACCACTCCAGTAAATCCCCATATGTAACTTATCTCACCTTGAGCAATCAGTTCAGAAGAGTAACTATCCTCTCCAGCATCATTTCTGGCGATACAAGTATAGTTTGCAATATCATTACCATTCACGTTCTTTATAACCAACGTTGATATAGCTGGATAATCAAGAAATTCAATTTTCTCCTCTTCTGGTTCGAGATGTTTTCCATTCTTTTTCCACGCGAAACTGATTGGTTTAGACCCTTTTGAAAGTCCACACGTGACAAGTGTCTGAGTGCCAGTTTCTGCCATTTTTGGAAAATGAAAAGGGAGTATCTTTGGGGGCGCTGTAAAAAAAAGTTAAGTTTGTGATTTGGTTAAAACTGTGATAGTGTATTGGCAAATCAAATATTTTTATGGAATTTCTTGAAATTAAGAAAAAAACTCAGTCTTTCTTTGTGGTATATTATTTCCTTGACAGAAAGTTTAATATCCACCCCCAGGTTTGGCGCCTATAGGATATATTTAATAAGCAATTTATTTAAATAAATCTTGTTAATTGTAAACACTAAATTCTTCTTTGCCAAATATATAAATATACATCTCAATGCAACTTACCAAATGGGAACCCGACGTCAACTAAGCTTAGTATTAGCAGCACTAAGCCTGAAAGCATAGTGAACACTGGTACCATTGGATGATGTTAACTATAGAACCAACTTTCTTGTAGCTCGTTCCAAGATGGCGGCAACTCAGTTTCTATTCAGCACGTAAAGGAACTCCAGCTTTAAAACTAACGACTGTTACGATTAATTGCACATGGTAGAACTCCTTTTGTTATCAATGTACACCAACGACCAATAGTTAGAGACAGAGAAACAGAAATTTATAACGGACTTTACTTACAAACAGATGCTTACGCACCACTCTATGTACAATTTACACAAAGCTAAAGCGCCACATAGCGACAAAAACATACAGTCTCATAATACTAATTTGCGCTACTAAACTAGAACTTTTTCAGTACTTATAAAAAAAAAGTGAAATATTTTAAAAACTTTCCCTTGTCATACAGTTTTATTGACTACAGTAACCACATATTAATTTGTTAAACTGTATTTGTTTTACATCATCATTAACTAAGAATGAATACTATACAATAAAATTACTTTATAAAATACGATAACGATATTTGAATACGTTTAGTCACACTTATTTTATTTTGTAAAATAATACTCAATACTCTCAGAACAAAGAGTTTAAAACTTAATTTATTAATATACATTAATTAGACTGAGTTGTAACGTTTTTCGTGAATATAACCGAATTATCAGACAATCACTTTCGTATAACTGAAATATTATACGAAAAGCAAGATTGAAACTAATATTTTAATCGTTACGGTTTGTCAAATAGTTTGGATGTTGCTTCCCACCTTCAGCGATTAGTTGAGATGTGTAACTGTCTTCCCCTGCTTCGTTTCTGGCTACACAGGTATAGTTTCCAAAATCGTTGCTTTCCAAGTTTTTTATTTTTAAGTTGGAAACATCAGCATCATAGAGAAATTCAATTTTTCCTTTCAACGGAAAAAGTATTTCGCTTTTCTTCTTCCACACAAAGTTAACCGGTAATGATCCTTTGGAAAGCCCACATAGGACATGCACGTGGGTACCCAGTTCCAAATTACTTGGAAAATGGAATGGTAGAATCTTTGGAGAATCTGCAAGGGAAAACGTAAAGCAATTATTTGTAGCCTCGACATGTTTCTAAAATTTCTTGCGTACTAATCTCACGGTAAAATATATATTATAACTGTGCAGATTTTTTATTAATAACACGACTACGTTTCGTAACACTGAAAACAAGGCCTAACCTGACGTTCGGCCTAAGAAAGCTGAGAGCTTAACGTAACTTAACAAATATAAGAACTCGATTGAAAATAAGAAAGATTACGAGGCGCACTTAAAAGTACCATAATAAAAGAAGTAACTGTAAACTAGCAAAAAAAAAACCATTAAGAAACTATTTAGAACAACATTCCTTCAATTTACGTCAGTTACCCTACCCTGCCTGTCTTGCCAAATTCAAGAACTGTTTATATTTAAAAAAGTAATTAACTGATTAAAATTATTA